ATATATATATATATATATAAATATTTTTTCAATATTATTTCTTTTCTTTTTTCAATTCCCTTCTCTTTATAACTTAAGAAAGTCTTAGCACGTGTGTACTCACACTGAGTAAACTCAAGGAGGGGGAAGAAAGAATTTGCTCGGTTGTCGTCCGGTTGAGTTGCGTTCGAGCTAAAAGCTAAGACACGACTGACTCTGTGTAGACGATACTCGAAGCTACCGAGAACGAAACTCCCACCTTCTTTCTCGCGTTCTTCGCCCGAGGAGAGCTCTCCACGCATACACAAACATCTATGAAAATACGCGTACATATACATATAAAATACATACGTACAAAAATATATATACACACACACACACACACAATCGTATACTCGCTTGTCTTTGCTCTATAGTAAGTATGTACCTATCTCTTCTCTTTCTTTCTCTCTCTCTCTCTCTCTCCCTCTTTCTCTCTCTCTCTCTCTCTCTCTTTTACTGTTCACCCCCTTCTTCTTCGTTATCCTCTTCCTCCTTCATTCCTTCCTTCCTTCCTCTTCGGAGGAGAACGTGCAAAACGTTATACCTCGTTGAGTATCTTTAGAATAATCCGGAGAGTTTTCTATTAAAATCCTATTTCTTCTCGATGGCCAAGAATTTTGAAATTGTTATTATACATTGACAATTACGCGTTCAACGTAAGAACATCACTCAATACCGTTCGTTCATTTAATATCATTTATTTTTACAATTATATACAATTTTATCAATATTAATCTATCTCTCTTTTTTTTGCTTTTTTTTTTTTTTTAAATTCTATCCTTTACGAACACTTTTGAGAATACCATTTTTATTTACATTTAGATAAATAATAATCTCGTATTACGTTTAGATAAATAATAAATTTATCTCGTAGATTAATTTCTACGAATCATATGTCGCAATTATTTTCTCTCTTCTATTTTTTTTCTTCTTCTTTCTTTTTTTTTTCTCTTTTTCTTATTTTTTTTTTTTTTTTCTTTTTTTTTTTATTACTAACAACTATACCAGGTGATTTTATTACTCGATATCATCTTATTCGTTGTTGAAAAGAAAAAAAAGAAAAATAAAAAGAAAAAGGAAAGAAAAAAATTGTATTATCATTAAATCCTAGAAAATTCGTCAGTTGTTTTGTCGGCGCACACGATTGAAAGCAATATTGCAATTGTTCGATTAAACAATTGCAACAAAAAAATCAATGCGTCAAGGAAGTTGTAAGTTAATTAATTATAAAAAAAAAAAGAAAAAAAAAGAAATAAAATGATAAAGAGGGAGAGAGAGAGAGAGAGAGAGAGAGAGAAGAAAAATGTATTGGTCGTTTCATAGACACGTTTAAATCAGAAAAGATATTGTAATTAATTTTTAAGACAAGTAGAATGAAAAAAAATTTGGAAACATTTTATCGAGGTCGAAGTCCAACGATTTTCACGTTCGTCGTAAATTTCGAAGATCCATCGATCATTGGTTAAACGAATTTGAAAAAAAAATGTTTCTATATATATTATTCATCTAATAACAATCATTTATTATATAATTTCTAAAGACAATTTTAACAACGTTAAAGTTCAATATTTATTTTCTTCCGATCGTCGATCGGATTGGCCCATTTGATGGATTAACGTGCCCATATAACGTTAACGTATCCCAATTTCGAGAGGGGAATTTATAATTAGATCGAGAAAATGGCAGCTGTTGGTGAGAACGAAAGCGTATACGCGAAATCATTCACGTGTTACGTCACATATATAATTCTTACGAAACAACGTACCGCGAACATTTTGAAAACGATTTTACGAAATTTTATCGATTACGACAAATATTTTCTTTTGGATGTTAGAAGCAAAAAAGGAAGAAGAAGAAGAAGAAGAAGAAGAAGAAGAAGAAAAAAAAAGAAAAAAAGAAAGAAAGAACAAACGGATAAAAAGAAAGAGAAAAATAATAGAGAGATCGATTTAGACGAGATAGACGAACAGTTGGAGATCTCAAAAATGATAATTTTGGCATTGGGGTCAACTCCATCTCCTTGAGTCATCGTCATCGCCGTCATTATCATCCATCGTCGTCGTCGTCGTCATCGTCGCCACCATCATCACATTATCATCATCATCATCTGGTGTCACGGTAAATCGACAATGAGTTGTAAGTTTTTGAAGTCTTTTTACTTACGCGTACACACACACACACACACACACACACACACACACATATGTTTGCACGCATAGATGCGATTTCTCTTATAGATAATTTCCAGATTAATCGAAAACGATACGATCTCGTATTGATAATAGATCTTTCTCTCCCTTCTCTCTATTTATCTTTTGATTTATTTATCTTCTTTTTCATTCATCAACTTAAACATTTCTATAAAAGGAAATTCTTCTCAACAGAATGAAAAAGAGAGAGGGAGACGGAGAAAGAGAGAGAGAAAGAGAGAGGGAGACTGATAAGATATATCTCCGGTATCGTATACAACTTTTCCGCG